GGACTCACCTGAGCACCTTTAGGGTTCATGGGGTGTGTCCAGGACTCACCTGGGCACCTTTTTGGGGTGTCCAGAACCCACCTGAGACTCACCTGGGCACCTTTTTGGGGTCCTCAGGACTCACCTGGGCACCCTTGGGGGTCTCCACAACCCACCTGGGACTCACCTGGGCACCTTTTTGGGGTCCCCAGGACTCACCTGGGCACCTTTAGGGTTCATGGGGTGTGTCCAGGACTCACCTGGGCACCTTTTTGGGGTCTCCAGAACCCACCTGAGACCCACCTGGGCACCTTTGGCTGCCCTGACTCGTGTCCAGGACCCACCTGGGCACCTTTAGGTCATACCTGGGCACCTTTTTGGGGTGTCCAGAACCCACCTGGGACCCACCTGGGCACACCTGAGACTCACCTGGGCACACCTGGGACTCACTTGAGCACCTCTAGGGTTCATGGGGTGTGTCCAGGACTCACCTGGGCACCTTTAGGTCACACCTGGGCACCTTTAGGTCCCACCTGGGCACCTTTTGGGGGTCTCCCAGCCTCACCTGTGCCCCTGACCTGTGCCCACAGGTAGCTGGGGCCCTCACCTGATCATCGTGCCCACGTCGGTGATGCTGAACTGGGAGATGGAGCTCAAGCGCTGGTGCCCCAGTTTCAAGATCCTCACCTACTACGGCGCCCAGAAGGAGCGGCGCCTCAAGCGACAGGTGAGGGCGCACCTGGGCACACCTGGGCACACCTGGGGACAGCTGGGGACACCTGGAGACACCTGGGAACACCGGGGATACATCTGGGACACACCTGGGGGGGTGGGACACACCTGGACACACCTGGGACACACCTGGGATATGTCTGGATATACCTGGGTACACCTGGGACACACCTGGGCACACCTGAGGACACCTGGGGACACCTGGGATATAACTGGGATACACCTGGGGACACCTGGGCACAACTGGGGATATCTGGATACACCTGGGCACACCTGGGATACACCTGGATACAGCTGCACACACCTGGGTACACCTGGGCACACCTGGGGACATCTGGGCACACCTGGGGCGCACCTGGGACACACCTGGGGAGGGGGGACACACCGGGGACACACCTGGGACACACCTGGGCACACCTGGGATACACCTGGGCACACCTGGATACAGCTGGATACACCTGCATACACCTGGGCACACCTGGGATATGCCTGGATACACCTGGGCACACCTGGGGCACACCTGAGGACACCTGGGTACCCCAAACACTCACCTTGGCACACCTGGACACACCTGGGCACACCTGGGGGGGTTGGATACACCTGGGACACAGCTGGGCACACCTGGGGTACATCTGGGACACCCTGGGGGGTGGGACACACCTGGGACACACCTGGGATATGCCTGGATACACCTGGGACACACCTGGTGGGGTGAGACACACTTGGGGACACCTGGACACACCTGGGATACACCTGGATACACCTGGATACACCTGGGTCCATTGGGATCTATAGGGACTCACCTGGCGGGTTATAGGGGGATCACCTGGAGAGTCTTACCTTGTCACCTGAGGGGTCTGGGACACACCTGGATCCATTGGGATCCATTGGGATCTATAGGGACTCACCTGGGGGGTTGTAGGTGGGGTCACCTGGGGAGTCTGGGGGTCACCTGAGGGTCACCTGAGGGGTCTGGGGGTCACCTGGGACACACCTGGGACACACCTGGGATGCACCTGGAGACACCTGGATCCGTTGGGATCCATAGGGGTCTATAGGGACTCACCTGGAGAGTTAGAGGGGGATCATTCATGGGGTCACCTGGAGGTTTAGGGGGTCACCTGAAGAGTCTGGGGGTCACCTGAGGGGTCTGGGGGTCACCTGGGACACACCTGGGACACACCTGGATCCATTGGGATCCATAGGGATCTATAGGGATTCACCTAGAAGGTTGTAGGTGGAGACATCTGAGGAGTCTGGGGGTCACCTGGGACACACCTGGACACACCTGGACACACCTGGATCCATAGGGATCCATTGGGATCTATAGGGACTCACCTGGGGGGTCGTAGGTGGGGTCACCTGGGGAGTCTGGGGGTCACCTGAGGGTCACCTGAGGGGTCTGGGGGTCACCTGGGACACACCTGGGACACACCTGGATCCATTGGGATCCATAGGGATCTATAGGGATCTATAGGGACTCACCTGGAGAATTATAGAGGGGTCACCTGTGGGGTCACCTGAGGAGTCTGGGGGTCACCTGAGGGTCACCTGAGGAGTCTGGGGGTCACCTGGGACACACCTGGGACACACCTGGGTCCATTGGGAGCTATAGGGATCTATAGGGACTCACCTGGAGAATTTTAGGGAGTTTATTCGTAAGGTCTTACCTGGTTACCTGAGGGGTCTGGGGGTCACCTGAGGGTCACCTGGGGGGTCTGAGGGTCACCTGGGACACACCTGGGACACACCTGGATCCATTGGGATCCATAGAGAGCCATTGAGATCTATTTGGACTCACCTGGAGCATTGCAGGGGATTTATTTGTAGGGTCTTACCTGGTTATCTGAGGGGTCTGAGGGTCACCTGTGGCTCACCTGTGGCTCACCTGTCAGGGCTGGACGAAGCCGAACGCGTTCCACGTGTGCATCACGTCGTACAAGCTGGTGCTGCAGGACCACCAGGCCTTTCGCAGGAAGAACTGGAAGTACCTGATCCTGGACGAGGCCCAGAACATCAAGAACTTCAAGTCCCAGCGCTGGCAGTCCCTGCTCAACTTCAACAGGTGAGGCCTGGGCACACCTGGGGGCACCTGGGGGCACCTGGGGGGACCTGGGCACACTTGGGGGGTACCTGGGGGCACCTGGGCACACCTGGGGGCACCTGGGACACACCTGGGGGCACCTGGGCACACCTGGGGGGCACCTGGGGGGAATTGAGATACACCTGGGCACACCTGGGGGC